CAAGAACTCAGTAACGTACATTTTACTCTTCGCATCTCGATCTTGAAACCGTACCTTTCCGTTAGGATTCTCGTAAGCCCACTCGACGAGATCGAGATTAATGAGATCCTCGCCTTCGTATTAGAACCGTAGTGACCCTCGACCGAGTGGTTAAGCAGAGGAAACAGCATCGCCTCCCTACAGTGAAGGTTCATTGGGATACCAACCGAGGACTCAAATTCACTTAGGAGCGTGAGAATCAATTGATTAGGAAGTTTCCCACCTCTCGACTCGATCATTCATACCTACTTCCTTACCTAAATTCTAATTTTGGGACGAAATTCCCTTTAACAGGGGGATGATGTGACAAACTGAAATTTCCATTTGGTCAAACCCTAAAAGTCAATAGAAGTTAGAACAGTTACAACAAATTTCTAGACTTTTGGAATAAGTTTGAAGTATTTCATGATTTACACTTAAGGAGATATCAGGGGAGTGGATGCACTAGGGTTTTGTGCAACTCTGTTATTCCAAAGCTCGTTGATATTAGAATTCAATGCCTGAATAAAAATATTTTCTACCCAAAATCCCAAGACTATATATAGGATTCTGAACCATATTTGTTCATTAGTTACATTTCAACTAGAGAAAAGCCATTTTCTCTCTCATGGATCTTTGGGTTTTCATCCCAAATCATGAGTAATTCTATCTAGTTGTATTATATAGCTTAGATTGTGTTTAATAACATCAAAATCATATCAAAACAGCAAGATTCGAGAGTTTACCGCCCAAGAACACCTTGGGGAGTAAACTCTTTTATAAGGGCCAAAGTGTGCCCAATGTCCCTCCAAACCTTGGAACTGAACCTAGAAACTACCCATGGCTTGTTTAGACATCAAAAACATTAAGAATTAAGGGCTAAAAGTGAGTTCACGGCCAAGGAAGTTCTTGGGCCATGAACTCCATTTTAAGGTGCCAAAATGCCCTAAATGCTTTCCTTAAGCAATGAAACTAGTTTGGACTTGTACCCTAATGTGTTTAGGACTCGAAAACAACCTTAGAACACCAAGAGTAAGGTGTTCATCGCCCAAGAATTTCCAGGGCCATGAACTCCAAATAATAGTGCCAAATGGTGCTATAAACTCCTCTAAAGCCTTGTACAATAGCCTAGTTTAGTTCCTAGTTAAATTAGGGACTTGAAAACACCACAAACACCCTCCCAAGGGAGATTACGGCTGTAATCTCCAACGGATATGGTCCCAGGGCCGTAAACTCCTAAAAGGAGTTATATTATGCCCTAAAATCTTCCATAGACCAAGCCATTAAGTAGGAATGCTTCTTAGGGCCTTATAGAGCATCAAACATCAAACGGTAACATAAGTATGAGCTTACGACCGTAAACTCATGAGTTTATGACTGTAAACTCATTTAGTAGGATCATTAGGGTCGTGAACCTCATGGTGGAGTTTTCCTTGAGCCCTACACACAATAGCTTCCCTTACAGACACTTAGATGCAATCCTAGAGGCTAATAACACTTGATAAAGGTTTAGCATGTCGTAGGGTGTCTTGACTTGTTTATTAGTTGTTTATAGACTAATTTGTTACATATATGTGATATTATATGTTAACTAGGATCATAGAGTGTGTTCAAGACTTCACTTGACACCTAGCAGTCCTACCTCTTCGGTTCATCCGTATCACCCACAACAGGTGAGTTCATACCCCTTAATCAATCTTTTAACTGTTTTTAAAATTTTTATGGGGGGGATACAAGTAGAATCATGTTAGTTACTAATACGAGCTTCCTTTCAAAACAATTTCACGTCTTTCATGACAAGTTTTACAAATTAAGACACATTAATACTTATGATCTTACCAGCTTTAAACATGATACTCTCTTTCAAAATAACTTGTATCCTCAGGTCAACGATAGATAGGTACCGATGCAAGGTTTAGAGAAGATGGAGCTCGATCAAGACTCGTCTTTCATTTTGATTATACTTTGGTGTCTATTATAATTTGATAGAATACACTTGTATTAAAATTTTATTATTAATGCAATGGATGTTGTTGTTGCTTGTTTACTACTTTTCATTATTGTGATACTGTACATGACGTCCTCCGCCCCAGAATGTTTACGTCATTCTTGGTTTTGGGGTGTGACATCTACTCTTGGAGCATATCTGAGAGGCTCAGATTGATGCTATGAAGGAAGAACACTGAAAGAGTAAGTGCCTTGTGGTTTAGGTGGTTTCCTTCGATTATAATAGCCAAAGATTATTGACCCTTTATTGGAGGGTGTGGGTTTTGTACTGGGGTGGTGTACGAAATTTTTTGATGGAGGAGGCGCACAAGTTGAGATTCTTTATTCATCCCAGAGCGACAAATATGTATAGAGATCTAACTAATAAACATAAGCTTCTCATTTTTATTTTATTTCTTTAATTATAAAACTCTTTGTGCTTTAGAATTCTTTGTAGCCTTCATTTTACCAAAGGAGTATACATTGTATATTGTACTACTAATATCTACTATGTGTGTTCTTCTCTCTCACTCTCTAATTCTCGGGATATTCTCACCTCGTCTTGACGCTAACTATCATTGACTTGTCCTTTAGAAAAGGATCATTGTTTTAATCCTTTGGTGCAGGATCTTCTAAGTAGAGTTGGTTGGAGCTCTTCAACAAATCGGTGTTCCACACCTCTTTTATCATAGATCACCAATTATAGAACCTTTGAGTTTTGCCTTGGTGGCTCTCATAACTCGAAGGTAACAAAGATTGGATCCCATTAACTCGTTGGTTACAAAGACTGATACTTGCTATTCCTTTGTCCTTGGTGAATATGAAGCTTAGAATCCATCTGCAATATCTTAGCAACTAAGGACATATTATCTCCATGTATGTTGTGAAGTATGTTTTGCTTTGATACATTTGATCATGTTTGTGTATTATTTTATAGATATTGTTTGGGCAGATATATCGAAGAAAGGAAACTAATTTATGGCCTTTCAATTCAAAAGAGTTTCTAGATTGTGTCTTTATCACCATTCTGAAATTGTTGCATATATTTCTCTTTTAGAAAACCTCCTTGTTTGACTAATTCTTTTGTTTTATTCCCTTATTATTTTTTCATTTTATTATTTATTATTTATTATATTGTACCATATTAAATGAATTGATGGTGAAATTTCAAATTCTAAACTGCAACTTAACTTCATGATACAGAAGATAAACCACTTGTCGTTGATAAGCTTAGATTGTTTATGATCCACTAATAATGCAACTCTGATATGCTGACCGCTTCCGCTAAAAATTCATGTCGTTGATGCTATTTCTCACTTATACATAATTCTCTAATCTCAATGGTAACTTTTGGATGATGATAAAGACATGTAACATCATCTTGGAAATGAGATTTTTACAATGCCTTATTCTCCAATAATGATTACGCACAAAGGAAGAAAATATTCGGATAAAATAAGAGAATTCGCTATCTCAAGTTCTCACACAAAGTGGCCAAAGTTCTCATACAGAGCGCTCTTGATCATCATCTTCTCTGTCTCAAGTTTTTCAAGATTTCATCATGTCAAAGGTTCTATACATTTTTGCTCCTAATGCTAATGTGGTCAAAGGTCCCCATGCTCCTAATACTCCCATCATTTTCTAAGAAAACAACATTGCCTTCTCAGACATCATCCCCGCTCAACACAAGAACTCAAGGATTGAGGAATTTGTCAACCACATCAAAGTTGTCCTCTTCGCTATGCATGCTGTGATTTTTCGGATCGATTCTACCCTAAGCAAGTATGTGAATTTTACTATTCTTGAACTATCAATGTCAATGATCAAACCATATTTGGAACTATTGGACATGGTCATTCTAGGGTTATTATCAATGCAACATCTTTTCAGCTTACTCTATGTCTTCCTTAATCAGAAAACCACTCTGAAGCTCCTTAAAAGGAAAAATTCAGGTCTCTTCGAACCAAATTAGGGTACAATTTCTCTCTTTAGGGTACTGCTCGTGATCCAAATAAACATACCCTTCGTGAATGCTATTGTGCTAGGTGGAAGTATTTAACAGGGGTGATTGACAAGTGTCTTAGACATAAAACTGGTAGTTTAGACCAGTTGAACCTGTTTGAGCAATGGATTGTGTATGCAATGGCTTGCAATAAAACGATTGAACTTTGCTCAACTTTTATTTGATCAACTGGTTGAATGCATCACTAGGAACAAAAAGCTAACCTACGTTCCATATCCTCATTGTCTTGCATTAATTTTGGATCATACTAGAGAGGGTTACAATGTCAACCATGGAGTTTCTATACAACTTCTATTTCTCTCATCAAAGATTATCAAGGCTAGTACTAATAAAGGATATATATATATATATATATATATATATATGCATCTTACTCGGTGTATGGAGGATTGGGCTGAAAATTATTATGTAGTTGCATATTCTTACTCTGATGAAGAGGATGATGAGGGTAATAATGAAGATGAAGAGGATGATGTTGATGATGAAGAAGATGATTTGATGCTGATACTAACACATCAAATGCTAATATGGGAGAGGCTTCTGCTCAGGGAACGATAATGTACTGTTCCCCAAGATTAAACCAGCACATTTGTTTATTCATCCTTTCCTTCATCAATAACTCTTTCTGCAGAATCTATAGCACAACGTGGTACATCCCCACCTCTAGTGGAAATTATTGATCCATCGATTCAAGTTGTAAATACTCCAATACCAATATATCCTCCTCCTCAAGCTGCAACTGTCTTGCCCTTGTAAACTGATCTATAGCATATTGCTACCTTTTAGTGGGAGTCTAGTTGCAACTTCCAAACAATTATTCTCTCTCAGCTTTATTTATTGGTTCGAATAAATCAGTTTCTTAGAGAAAGACTGACCAAATTTGAGAATGATGTGGATGAAATCAAATGTATAGTGGCTTTGATTAATAATGATGATAAGATGATTGAAGACACTCCCTCTAGCTTTCCACACAATGATCATCCACCTCCACCACCACCATCTAGTAATAACCCATCAATACCATCATCTGGTAATAATCCACTACCACCATCTAATTCCCCTCCTCGCACTCCCTCTCCACTTCATAACTTTCCTCCCCAAAACTGATGATGTCAAAAATGGGGAGAATCAAGAACTGGTGATGATGATTTTAATTCCAATTCAGCCTGAACAGTTTGAATTAGAAAGGGAAGACAATCAAGGAACAATGGTCATTATTCAGTTCGAACCAGTAAGTGAAGATCAACCTATGCCGGAAGCTGATAATGATCAGTTTAAGACTGATAATGATGATTATGAAGGGTATCTTGATATGGAATTTATGGCACAGAATGCTACTGCTCTAACTGTTGTTTATCATGGTGCATCTTTTGATAGGGAGATTCCTCAAGGAACTCACAGTGAATTTGAGTCTGATGATGATCAACTCAATCCAAGAAAAAGAAAGGCTTCCTTCTCAGGAGGAACAAATGAAGTTGAAGCTTGAGGTTCCTCAGCTACTAGTAGTTCTTCAGCCCCTCCTCCTTTCAAGAAAAGCAAATTAATGGTTGATTTGGAAAAATTGTCTGAGAATTGGAAAATGACATTTAAGGAGGTCAAAGAAATCATGTTGGAGCATAATGCTTTAGTTAGAAGAAAAAGAGATAAACATCGATCCATCAAACCTGCTCAGATCCTTGCCTCTATTGATGAAATGGTTAATGATTAAAAGACAACTATTCAACATTTCAATATTGATGTTGCCAAATGAAACAGGGTTTCTAAGCTGAATGATCAAATTGATAGGAAGAAATTTAGAGATGTTCTAGCTCAAAGATATAAATTGGATCCCGTCAATAAGGACATGTGCTCCAAACCTAAGGATGAATCGTTCAAAATTCATCTAGTCAAGAAGAAGGCAGAGTACGAATACACTAAAGTTTTTTTTGCTTGTGAGTTAGTTAGATATGACTACAGTGAGTGGACCCAGATTCAGGAGATAATTTCAAAACATAAAGGTGTTCACGCTCATGAGGTAAAATTGGTAATTCAACAACTGTTACCAAATTCAAGAAGCTGAACTTACCTTTAGCTGGTTCATCTCTGTCATCTACCTCAAATAGAACAAGCAAGCCAAACTTTCCAAGTATAATAAGTTCCTCCTTCTGTATGGCATTGCCTACATAAACAAAAAGTTGTCAGTGGGTGTTGAGTCGTTTCAGCACATGTTCATTTGGGAACTAGAAGTGGCATCTTCTACCTCTATAGTCAAAATCAAATGTTCATTCAACGTACTGACAATCTTCTTGCTGCTCCCACCCAACATCTATTAAATCTTCGTATATAGGGCATGAGCTATAAAGAATTAGAATGAGGCTATCTTGTGTTGGTCTCTCTTGAACTTAGTAAGCGTTTAACTGATCTTCATCTTGATGAATTTAATTGGTTGAAACCTGAGATTTTGACAGAACCTAAAAAGTTCTCTAATGATGATTTTGACGACTCCGTTGAATATTAACTTTGACATAATCAAATAGGGTGGATTTTATGGCCACATCTTATGATCTGATGAGTCAAACACATAACACATTGTCTACCAGCGCCAACAACAACTTCATTAGCGACAGCGTGATCCTCATAATCTTAATTATTGTTTAATTATTAGCTAGATATACTCTATAATTATAAAATAAATATATGATCCATAATCTTAGTATCAGGATCAAACCTTACATAGATTAGAATATATCCCAAAAATATTGGGATCTCTATTTCTATAACTGTATATACTATACTATTATGTTTAAACCCTAATAGGGTTCGTGTCTCGCATTGTGCGGCTGTTCTCTTTGTGAGAACCTATTCTTAGTAAAATCATCTTTATGGCCATCCTTGTTCTTTTGTTTTTGTTTACTCTTTGTCATGTTTGTTTGTTCTTCATTATTCATACTTAAGTGTATCCGATCAATACGAACCTTCAACCATTTCCTTCATAACTCGTTTCCGTTCAATGATTCCATTTTATTATAGCATGTAGGATGACGTTATCTCATGGGTGATACCAACTGACTAGGGTTATTGTGTGTGTATGTGTGTGTGCAAACCCATAAATTTACAAAGCCTCATATTTTTCATATAAAACTCATCTTTCACGTGCAAAAAATATATGTAATGAAATCGAGTGACATCACCGATAAAAGTAACAACATACTTTTTATTATCGAAAGTAATAGTAGAGTGGAAATCACTTAAACCACTATGTATAATTTCCAAAAAAAAAAGTCAAAATTTCTTTGACTATTAGAAGATGGTTATCTTGTAACTTTTGTTAGCAAGCAAGTCTTAATTTTTTTCTGCATTGATATCAAAGTGTAGAATATATATCTTTTTAAATTCTATGCATTCTTCAAAAATTGACATGAACCAATTTAACATGCCAAATTATAAAATCATCAACTTCAGAAGATTAAAACCTAAATACATAATTTCTAGTGAAAAAACAATTGTTGATAACGTTCAAACAAAACACAAAATTACAATAATAACCAAATTCAATAAACATTCCACACCTAGATAAGATATAACTATTCAATTCATAAACTTTTTTATAACCTAAACTATCTAAACTACCACAAAAAATAAAATAAGATTTTTATGAATTTTTGGTACAAATAAAACATCAAATAACTTAATTGTATTTCAATAAGTAAATTGTAGGACTAATAACTCCAATCCTAATAAATAGCTACACTTGAATCATTTATCATATTAAGCACAAATCCATCTTCAAATGGAATCAATATCTCGAACCACTATTAATCCTTTCAAATATGACTTGTTGATCTCGAGTCGATCTTCCATGCACAATAATCAGCATGTATATAGTAAGACTTGAAAATTAGTGAAACATAATTCTGGACAAAATTGTTATGTTTAGGAAAACACTTAATTTACTTCTGTTGAAGTTGGTCCTTTGACCCTTGTCCATTTCTACTACTCCTAAAATCATTGTTACGCAACTTAACATGACAATCACATTTGAAATGTCCCAACTTATGACATCTCTAGCAAACCAAATAATTTGGTTTCTTGTTGGAATTTTAGGACTCGAAAACTTGCTTTTCTTGCATTTGTTGTTATAGTTAGTTTTCTTCTCCTCAACCATATTAATAGAAGGGTTGTCAAATTAACTTTTTCATCATTCTTTCCATTTTCTTGTACCCAAAGAGATTCTTCGATTGACAAATGCTTCCCAAACTAGACACAATAATATATTTATACATCTTCATTCATATGTTGTAGTGTGAATTCAACATTAATGTGAAGGAAATGATTATATTATTCCATTACAGACCTTGAATCAACAATCTTGGAATTTTTAAAATCACTAACCAAGAACTTATTGGAAGAAGCATCTTCAGTGATGTATTTTGATTCAAGGTAATTTGATAATTACTTTGTATTATCCATATTTTGGTAAACATCGAATAAGGAGTCATACATACTGTTAAGAATATTCCATTTACAAATATAGTCGTCCTTCTCCCACTTACTCCTCTTCCATGTTTGTTCCAATGTTTCGCCTCCACGGATTCAGATATTATAGTATACATCAACATATACTACTTTCAGAGTTGTCAACAAAAGATGCCTCTTGGTTTTCCTTTCTAAAATCATTACTTTCAAAAATTTCCAACTTTTTGAACATTGAAGGCATATCCTTGAAATATTCGACCATGGTTACCAACAAGAATATCAATTTCATTTTTAGAAAAGTTTGGTTTTAGAATTGATATTTCTCCCATATGTATAGGTTGATAAGAAATTTAGTGTTTGATCATCTATGATGATACTTTATGTTTCAAGCACAAAAAATGAAAAATTCTAGAGAGTATATGTATTATTCAATTTCATGATGGGGCAAAAAGACTAGTGTATAAACTCTATTTATAGTCATGAAACAAATAAGGAAAAATAAATACGATTTTGACCCTTGAATTTAATTATATCTAGTATCAAACTTGTCCTATATATATATATATATATATATATATATATATATATATATATATATATATATATAAGTATGCACTATACACTATCTAACTCATATTCTATCAAAATTTTAATCCATATTAGCAATCATGTTTATTCTATTACACAAAATGACAAGTAATACTAAAATTACCAACAAATAGTACATGAAAGCAATATAAAACAAAAATAATAATGTACTACAGCAAACATAAAAGCACAATGTATGATAAAACATTGTTGACTCACACAATGTCAGGTTAATTTTCTTTTTCTATAGTAGTTAGAATGCTCGCAACACAATCTGATAGTACAAAAAATTACTTGGAACACCATAAATACACATACGATTACAATCAAACCCCTATAATGTCTTTTTAGATTACTTTTACAATGATAAATTATTAAATATAATATGATCAACTTTCACCCACATATCTAAGACATATAAGTTATGTTATTGTGTTCAAATACTTTAGTTCCACATTATATCCATCATACATACTGTTTATCAATAGGATTATGCATCATTTTCAATGTATCTTTTTCCCCTTGGTTGCTTTCTGTTTAGCAAGTTTTTCGAATAAACTACCATCGAAGATACCTCTAATGCTCTCTTTTGACAGGTATCCTTCGTCATCTTTAGCACTAGAGTATGCTATCCCCCACTCCAACTTACTCATTATCCTGTAGATGATGAAACATATTAAGTTATCACTCAGTTTTATGCCTAATGATTTTGTTTGTAATGATCAAGCACAAACCATCCAAATACGTCAAGTGTAACACGATTTCCTTCGGTCATGTTCCATATCTCTTTGAATGTTAGTTTATTTGGCATAGTTTTGCCGTATTTGCTAAATATATTCTCAAAGTTAGCTGGAAGATACCTAGAAAATGAAATTAATTTCAATGTTAATATTGTGTTACGCATATATATATATATATATATATATATATATATATATATATATATATATATATATACAAATAAACAAATCTAATTTTTCTTGTACAAATTCGTTCACTTAAGAATATATATATATATATATATATATATATATATATATATATATATATATATATATATTATTTGTGTTTGTTTGTTTACTTCAGGTACTAAACAAACAAACATAAACGATCATAATCAAAATGAATAAACAATCATAGATGAAGAATATAAACGAATAACCATAAATGAAAAACATAAACAAAAGTAAAATGAAAAAACAAACTTATACGGACATAAATGAATATAAACTTCCAAATCAAGACCGTACATAAATAAGAATCCAATTATATGCAAATCCTACAAAATAAAACATTCAAAAACTTCATTATGATTTTGAAAAGAGATTATAAATTTATAAGTATCAAAAACAAATGTAAAAAAAAATCCATAAATAGATATAAATTAACGAATCTAAACGAATAAACATAAATGAACAAATATAAATGAGCTTTCATAAATAAATGTAAGTAAACAAACAAGATTAATAAACAAACAAAAATTTTAATAACCATTCTTATATTAAATAAATTAACTGTTTAATCAATATTGATTAGTTTACAACCATAAACGATTAGTAAACGATAAAACACCGACCATTTTAAGAAAATAAAAAAATCACTAGAATATTTCGTTGCGGTGATGGATCCAAAATTTTTGTCACTTGCTTAAATAATTGAGTTTGGTGACATACTCAATCTTTAAGACTGGACAGAATCGCTCGACAAAGGACTCGACATTGCAGACGTGGGCTTGATGAACACCGGGCCGTGGAATCGGCATGCCGAGCTCGACTCGGTAACTCGGTAGAAACTCATCGATGAGAGAGAGGGGGAAGGTATTGATTGTTTTAATTTTTTTGATCGTTTTTGGGTCAAATTTGACCTTTTTTTCTCAACTAAATTCTTATTTTACTCCTTTCACTCATATATAAATACTACTACATACCACATTTTATACCACTTTATCTTCTTCAAATTTTCATTCAAATAATCATATTTTTGTGAAAAATGGCTTCCCTTTCCAACCCAAAAACTCCAAAAAAATACCAAAAGAAACATCCAAAACACAAGCCCAATCTCACATTCTCCACTTACTTTTGTCCAAAGCCAAACTGATCGTCCGATGTACTCACCCCCAAGTTTATACTATGGTGATGTTTACTAACCATATCATGTCCAAAACCAACATCAATCCTAAAACCAACCTCAATTCCAAAACCAACCATAATTTAAAAACCAACCTCACTTCCAAAACCAACCACAATTTCAAAACCAACCTTAAATAAACTTCTCATCTCAACTCCAATCTCTAATGGAAAATGAATTCGATCAAAGGCGGAGCATCTTTAGGGCCAAGAGGGGCAGTGCTACCCCCCCCCCCCCCTCCTCTGATTTTTTTCTTAGAAGTAGTCTAGCCCAATAAATTTTGCACATATTTGTGGCCCAAAAATAAAAAGTTTGGCCTGGCCCCTTGCTCTCGGTAGTCCAAACTCTAAACCAAAGTCATCAGACCCTCCAACCCTTGCTCAATCGCTTCAACGTTGTTCGTTAGAGCACTTGTCCATCTCGACACCTTACAATCGACAATCTACAATCACCGTTGATAGCTCCACCTCTCACCTCCACACCAGAATCGATCAGGTATGTTCAGTATTCTCTCCATTTCTCTATTCTCTCTTTCTCCTTCGGACCATCAGCCCCCTGATTAAGTTTAACTTATTTTTATTTTCAATTATTCATACAGAATGTCTGAATTTACGTGTTATATTCAATTACTTACTTTAAATTGAAACACCAAACCTAGAACACGAGCTCACAAAATCCGACATGTAATTATGTTGATCTTAGAGGATTAAGGGGTTTCATGAATGGATTGGAATTGCCAATTAATGGTTGGTTGCCTACCAATGCATCAACTTTTTCATTTTCCAGTTGTTGCAACCGGGCGGGTATCACATGGAATTCCTCTTCTGGTAGGATTGTTAGATTAGAACTCCCAAATCATATATTAACGGACAGTAGCTCCAATTCATTTTCTAATTTAAATAATCTTTGGACACCGAATCTTTTACAAAATTTTCTTAAAGGCCCTCTTCTTGTTTACTTATTTCTTCTCCCTCATTTGGAAATAGTTGATTTAAGTGGTAATAGATTCAATGGGGTTTTACCACTTAACATAAACCTGCTTGCACTTCAAGTATTAGACATATCTGATAAGACCTGATACTCTTGCATCTTGCCAAAAGTTAAAAGCTTTAAATCTTGCCAGGAATCCTAAACTCAAAGCCAAGTCCCACAAACTTTCAAGAATTTCTCTTCTCTTTCTTACCTTTCAATTGTATTTCTTACCTTTCACTTTCCAATTTTAGCCTCAATTACCTCTCAACCGCTCTTAAAGTTCTTTGCCACGGCCCTAATCTAATTGTTTTAACTCTTACTATGAACTTTTATAATGAACAACTGCCACCTGACGATGATCTACAATTCAGGCCACTAAGAGTAAAACGGGTAAGCTATGGTAAATTTTTACGTGTTATGGTGTTTATGCGTTGCAATATGTAGCATACTCTTGGCTTCATATTGATTGGTCTCATTATTCATTTGTGACCACATACTCTCCTATTTCTTGTCTTCCAAAAACCAAATTGATTATTTTTTTTTTTAAGTTAGCAAAAATGTTATTATTCTAATAAAAATAAAAGAATTGAAAAATGGAAGTCTGGATAACTTTCTCGCCTCATGATATAAAGAGATAAGAGAAATTACTACAAACATTGATTCAATGTTTTTGGTGTTTATCTGCATAAAAAAATTATACTCCCCCCCCCCCCTCCCCTCCCAATTAATTGTTCAAGCTCCACACCTGACTTTAATCCGTTTAACTATCTTCCTGACTTCCCAATCAACACCGAAAACCCAATTCCAAACTCAAACACAACCAGAAGTCGTCCTCAAAACGAATTCAGAGCAATAAGAAATTCGACCACAATCCTAGATAAGTGGAAAGGCGGCTCTAAGGCAATAGACTATGACGGAAGAAATGTTGTTAGCTCGTGCATGGGTAGATGTTTCTAAAGATTTGGTGGTCAGAAACAACCTAGATTGTCCTTTTTCCCGGAAAATTATTAGGCGTTTTCTAGCGCAAAATGAAGCTTGGAGACTATAGGAAAAAAGGACCAAATTTACTTGAACCGGAGAAATGTCAACAAAGTTGTGACAAGTTTAATGCAGTATTTTTGAGTATCAAACGTCAATGGCAAAGTGATGCGAATGGCAAAATAATTTTGCAAAGCGTTCTTGCACTATGTCGGAGTCAAAAGGGGGTAAATTTCAAATTTCAACATATTTGGAATGTTGTGAAATTTTCAAAATAATGGAAAGACGTCGAAACTTTTGAAATGTTTATAGGTGGTTCTTCTAAAAGAACCAAAATATAAAAAACGACTCATAGTCAATCGTCCGATGCACATGTCGGGATTAACCTCAATGAAGAGGAGCATTTGGAGGTTCCAAAACTCATTCACCCCATATGAAGAGACCAAGAGAAAGGAAAGGGAAAAGTGACGATAATTGATTCGGGTAACATCGACAAGCAAACAACTAAAATGGACATTTAGATGTTTAGAAATAATACTATTTTTTGTAAGGAGCTTCCAAAAATAAGTCTTATTTTCCATAACATAGTTTCTCATTCTTTTATGCTCTAGTAGATCTAAGTTTGATTTCAATTGAGTGTTGTCGCTTCAAAACCCAATTTTGATCTTATTGTAATGCACGTTGAACTTTCATTCCTAGCTTTTTGCTAGTTTTTTTTGTTGTTTTGTTGTTGTTTTTTATTATTTTTATTATTTTTTTGTATTCTCTATGTTCTAAAAAAACAACCAGAACAATATTTGGCACTCGTACAAGAAAAAGAAAAAAAAAAAAACTATGTCACGACGATCTTAACGAAAAACACTAGCAATATCACCAGTTGCGAAAAAGAAATTGCGATAACAGCGAAAGAAGAGATTACGAAAAAATATAACACATACGTTTCGTTATTTATATTTCTACGTTTGTAATTTGAAATTTTATATTTTTTTGTGTTGTAATTTTCTTTTCTTGTTTAACTAAATTTTAGGTTTTTAAAAAATATTTTGTTTGAAATGTTTATTTTTTTATTAATTAATTTTAAAAAATACCATTATAAATGTAATAATGTATACTATATAAATGACAAAATTTTGAAACCGTAAGACAAACTTGACACATTACTTCCGGCCTAACCAGATTTCAATTATTATCCCGTGGATCGTAACCTGATAAAAAGTTCATGAAAATTGAAGTCGCATTGTATTTGGGTTTCGTCCATTTGTTGTTAAAAGATTGGGAATTTGGATGTTTCATTAAATTAAAGGAATAATATTCATCATATGTCCTATTATTTAATTTAGGGATAATGACTTGAAAGGGTAACGAACTTTCGACTTTCGTCACATTTAGTCACTAAACTTTTTTTTGTTATGTATTTGCCATTGAACTATTGAAACTGTTCACATTTTACCCTTATGACCGGCTGTTACCGGTCATAAGGGTAAAATGTGAACAGTTTCAATAGTTTAGTGGCAAATAGATAACGAAAAAAAGTTTAGTGACTAAATGTGAACAAAATCGAAAGTTTGTTTCCCTCTAAAAAGTTCAATGACTAAATGTGAACAAACTTCCTATTGTATTATGTTTTAGCAAAATTATTTATTTTTGTTTAATTGTAGCAACATTTGTTGATGAAGAAATCTATGAAATAAAAAAACAAAATGCAACATCCGGATTTCCAGGTATCATAATTTAAGTATTTTTCTTTTGAGTTAAGAAGAGAGACTCGGCGAGTTGAAGCCTC